GCACTTTACCCCTGCTACTGTATATTTCTTCCTAGTCGGGTTATTATGTATGACTCAGTGAAAATCGTGTAGTATTTGAGGCGTTTGATATCTCGTCACCAATGCAGTTATAAAGGGAGTGAGCTTTTAAAGAAACTGTAGTGCTGTGTCAGTGGAAAAGTATAACAGGTAATTTAGTGTTAACAACTGACTTGAAAACGTAAATTAGCCACCGTAAAGATCGATTTTAAAGGCTGACTTTTCCAGCGTTAGCCATTCGTCAGGGCGATTGGAGGAATTGTGGGTTGTGTGCGGGTTTGTGTGCAGAAAATGGAGCCACGCTATTGTTGGGAATATGGTGACGAGAAAACAAGAATAAATTAGTAGAATAAAAAGTGCTCATTAATACCATGGGGATTAGGAGTGCCGATTTGGAAGATATGTTTTGCGGCTTTCCGAACTACCTAGATGTAGGGAAAGGCCGCAAACTACCATACGCTGTTTAGAATGATTAGGGAGATTAAAGTGTCTAGTGACTGGTTTGAATGCGTCCTTGTCATTTCCATCTACTTCGCGACGGTGTTCTCGGAATCGGTCACCTAGTCGTCTTCCTCTTTCACCAAGGTATAAATTTTTTTTAATAAGTGCAAGTTATGCAGTAAATGACATTGGCGGAGGTCCACGTAAAGTGATCGGTGATCCTAACGAATCTCTTAGGTCCTGACATTTTCTCTACCTTATGAATGAAAGGACAAGTTGTGCATCGTGAGCGAGCGTATTTGAAAGTTCCAGGTTGGTCATTAGTTTGAAATAAACTTCTGACCAAAAAGTTACCTATTTTTTGGTCACGTTTGAATGAAATTAGTGGAGGTTGCGAAAAGATAGTACCAGTCTCCGAATCGTTTTGGAGTAATTTAAAGTTTTAAGAATAATAGATTTAACTGCGTGGTTGTGAGGGTGAAATGTGAGAGTGAATGGAATGCGGTCAGTGTTTTCTCTATCCGCCGTTTGTGGTGCTTGCTGTCGATCAATTTGTAGGGCACGGTGGTGGCCCGCTTGAACGATAGAACAGGATAGCTACGTTTATCGAAAAACTAGCACATTGCCTCTGATTTTTCGGAAAAATACATAAACGACGAAGTCTGAGAAACTGTGAAAAAGATATGGAATTCTTGACGTGTGATGGATGCGACGATGAACACATGAAGTAAATATGTAAGTTAGTCAATACCACGGCCCCAGACCTGAACTCTACGGCCGTTGTATTGACGACTGCATCGGCGCTACCTCTTCTACCAGAGAGGAGCTATCTCAATTTATAACCGCCGTCAATTCCTTTCACCCGGCTCTTAAATAAACATGGGAAATTTCTAACACTTCTTTGGCTTTTCTAGGCATCAAAATTTCAATTGAAGGCAACAGTTTAAGCACTCGTGTTTACTACAAACCTACAGACTCACATAGTTGCTTGTACATCACCACCCCGCATGGGTAAATTGATGGTTCGTATTCGAGTCAGTGCATGCTTTCTGCTTAAAAAAGACGATAGGGCATTTTATTATCATAATCTTCTTACAGAGTTAACAGGACATATGTTAATTACAAAAACTGACGCGTATGCTACAATTGCTCTTTTTCAAGTCTGATCGTTTTTCCGCCCTCACCAAAAAGCACAATCACCTACCACAAGGAAAAAAGTAATTAGTTGGTTAAGGACTTCTGAGGACAGTGAGGGCAACGGTAATAAAACTTTCTAAGTATCATTTTACTCTTCTCTGGTTGAATGGACGACTAAGTTGTGAAATATAATGGTGACTTTGACGACATTGAAAGCGGCTTTGAAATATGGAACGACTCAAAAGTCTCACGTGACAACCAGAAAAGGGCAACGTGACGTGGTTGTGCATAACAGGAAGAGATTGCAACAGACGGCTTTGGAAAAACTTTAAACTGATCTGCTTTTATAGAGTTTAACTCTATTCGCTCTGATCAATAGCACCAATTGCATAATTGGCGGCAGAGATCACTTTGACGACCACTTGATCGTTTACTGCACTCAGTATAGTTTTGGAGCGAAGGTTGTGTTCAATTCGTAGCAAAATTCAGCTTTCAACTTTTCCAATATTTGACACACACAGAGATAATGCAGATCTGAACATAATGGAGACAATACGTTTCCCTAAAGAGTCAAAAGTGTTTTCTTGATTTTTCATTGGCAGTTCTAACCGGACGCAGTTTTGCCAAACTAGTTATAATGCCAGAGTAGCTGAATGAACTTACCATTATTATGTTGAACAGCATGAAGAACATACTGACTAGGAGTGGTACCAGTTTAGGATGAAAAGAATTGGCCGTGGTTGTGTCTTTGTCATTTGTGCAACCCTCCATGTCTTCTTCTGGATCTTCCTCAAAGTCAAACGGAAATTCATCATCCTCAATTATCGGTAGATCATCGTCACCTTCCTCCAAAAGATTTTGTTCCCGCTGCCACGATAAAATTGAAGATCGTATTATTTATAAGCCAATGTAAGGGGTCACTCAGTATTTATTCAAGGGGCAAGTCAGTCAAAAAAAAATTACAACTCTATTTTATCTTTTCCATCCTTAGCCATCCCTGTTCCTTTAGGGGTAAATTTTTTTTCCTTTGAAGTTTTTCTATCTTTCTCAGCTAGTATTTCATAGTCTCCCTCAAGTTGTAGGATATTTTCTTTGACCCAAGAATATTATAAGTATTGTTACCTCCCTTCATTAAAAGACGTATCCCTTTTTGCAGGGACAGGAGATTATTTTTAAAGTAGCAGAGCTTAACGACCATTCTTGTATAAAACAAATACGTAAGCTAGATCATCCTTGGTACTTCACAGAAGCTAGGCTGTGGAAATTTTTTTAGTAACTCAAAGATTTTAGAAAATTACGTACCATTAAGTCAAGTGTGTTTTCGTCTGTAGACCTTTCTAGCTGTAGTAGGTACATATACTCTTTCTTGTTTACGGAGCACGAAGCGGATTTTTTTTACATGTTCTAGAGCAATTTTATAATATCGTTTGGAGGTTCTTTCAAAATGATCAGTCTTTATTTAGAGATAGTCTGTTTAATTGTGGGGACATAGAAAAGGACATAGCTTCTGGGATAAACTTTTATTTTAAATAAAAACTAAAAACTAAAAGAGTAGGCTGACAACCTCAGTTTGTTGAACAATAAAAATAAGAGTGATTTCTTTTACCTCAAAAACAGCAATCAATAGCATGGCTGTAATATAACTACTAAAATCTGCCTGAGGTCTTAAAATCGTCTTCCACCAAGATTTGACAAATACTGGAAGATTAAAAACGAAAACATGACACTAGTTTAACAAAAGAGGCAAAGCACAAAAGGTCGCAAAAAACGGAATTACAAAGCCAATTGAAACGAAAATATATCATCTGTGCCAGATCACTTCTAGTATACATTTGTGGAAATTGATTTTGCTTGACCTCTGATATCGGTCAAGGTATTCATTGATTTTAAAACAGTTTTATTGACTTTTAGAGGAAACAACCCAAGAACTTTGCATTATGAAGCCGAAACAGAGCAAAATTAAAATTTCAAATAAACTATATCTAATTTCCCGACAGGAACGTTAATTTCTGTGACAGTTGTGTACTGGAAGCCTTTGGCCTTAAAGCTAAAGATAATTGATTCTGTTTTGTTGGTATTATCTAACCATCAGTAACAAAATGTGTCGGCAAGAATGCTTACCGCATAAATGACTCTCTGGATTAGACTCGCATCTCCCAAAAAATCCGCATGTTGTCGTTACTAACAAAACTACAGTAACAAACTTTTCAATTCCGTTCATGAAACTTTCAGATGGATTTCAAGAAGAATATTCTTAAGTTTTGGCTGGAAAAGATGGTGCAACGGCTCACGAGAGCAGTAAGCCTCAACGAATTCCCTGGTATACGTGTTGAGAGGCTATGATGTCATCAAACAGTGTTTATAAACGCAACAAATTGCGCGCGCTGAATCATTGTTGTATGCTAAGGTTTTCCATTTGATTTGGAACTTCCAGGCTTTGCAAAACAGCGTTTTAAGCAGGCTGTGAACAGCTTCTCTATATATTACAACTTCTTGCTAATTCACTAGTATAAGACTGACTCAGCACAAGATCAGACTAAACCTAAAATGAACCCAGGCACGTGAGTTGTTATGCTGATGCGAAAGAGTTGTTAACATGACTTCTAATAATTTATTACAATACCCCTTTTTTCGTCCTAAATTAAATTTAGCTCTCTTTTAATAAATGTTAATTTAATCTGAGATTAAAAACGTTACTTTATTCAATTTTCAAGGGTTTCATATAGAATCAAAGTCAACAGACTGATTTTTGTTTACTTGCATATAACGGTCAATAGTATTGTTTTGAGGTGACGGACTTGAAGCTGCTTTTCTTTAATTTTATGACATGAAGTAGATCTGTTTTACAGATGTTAATATTATGTAGTTAATATTTTATGATAAAACAGTTTGCGGCATCAGTGTGACGCTAAAATTTATCATGTTGGTCTAGTAATATATTATATGTAAACAAAAGTAACACACAAAGATCTACCAGCTATTTCTCTCACATTTTTATATTTGTTTTCGAGAAAATGGCACTTCCGATTCATATGGCAGATTAATTTGTTTTTTTGAACATCCTTCCAGTGCGTCGATATCTTTTTTTTCATCCTTCAGAAACTGAATTGCTTTGTGATCGAAATATAAAAAAATTCGGCATGCTACAAAAAGGATGGTCTGGAAAAAGTTCATTTTTCAATTACTCTAGACTGAACAAGAGGATTGATAATTGAACTTTGGGTAAACAATGAAGTACTAAGTAAGTGTTGGCTTAATTAAAAACCGAATCCAAATTTGCAGTACTTCAAAGAGATTCACTCCATGAAGTCATTTACAGTGAGCTGCAGCTTCAGGTCGATGTGAAAGTTCGATTCATTTTTTGATAAATTTTTCAACTGCGTAATTTTTTTGTTTACTTCGAAATGAACCTACGCACTTCAAGCCTTACGTACTTAGGTGTTGTGTTTTTGAGTCTTGCTGTTCCGGAACAAGGAATCGCTGACGGTTCGAATAACCTTCCAGTTTTAGTCTGTAAGTAATTCAGTTTACCTTTTTACACATTTATCTTCGCAAGATATACCTACAAAAAATATTTACACCACCCAGAAAATGTTGACTTTTTCCTTCTGGTTTAGAAGATACCTTTTTGGTTCAGAGTTGAAAGTGTTGGCTCTAAAACTGAGTATTTTAAAGCCATTTCTTCAAATAAACTGTGCCAGAGGACAGGAATACTGAGAAGTTCATAAAAAGAGGAAGATTGTATTGTATTATCTTTCAAAAAGAGTTATCTTTTGAGTAAACGCGAGCGCCGCCAATTGCAAGATGATTTTGTTTTCTTCCTGATTCAGATTCAAAGGACGACTTCATCGTGCGTTACAAAGGACAGAATCTTAGTCTGAGAGATATTTTCCGTCGTCAGAATGTTACTCCCCCGGAAGGAAAGTCGTTTTTCTATGAGGTTAAAAGACAGAAGACTTCGAAACACCAGTCATGCAAAGGCAGATGTTTCAGCGAAGAAAGGAAAAAGGACATGACCTGTTACTGTGACAACGCATGCAAAATGTTTGGTGACTGTTGCCTGAATTTTTACTCGAGGTAATTGTAAGCTAGGAGTCCCTAAATAAACTGGATTTGCCGAGAAAAGTAATAGTTTCGATTGAGGGTCACTAGTATCCACCGTTGCATAGTGACAAGAAAAGGTCAGAAAACGGTGGAGTTCGTTAAGCGTTCGAATTAGTTTTTTTCTGAGAAAATCTGGATGTTTAGCATTATCATTTGTTAGGGTAAAGATTTCCCCTCGCTTGACAACAGAAATTATTTTACACTGGTATTTTTAATTTTAACAATGAAAAGAGGAATGAATGAATTGTAAGTTGAAAAGAAATAATGCAAAGGGTTGGGCTAGTGCCCCTCAATTTATCTTACATCCGATTCTCAAGGTTTAACACCGTTACCATCGCATTTATTCGCCACAGGATTTACTGCTTCTGATATTACATCCAAAATATTTGCAGAACCTTCCTTTTATCCTTTATTCGCTTTTTTCCTCTCGCTTTTAGTCACCCTCTTCTACTGGCGGCGTTTTTAACTGGTCCTCCCTACAGCCCTGAACCCATCTGGATTTCGCCGGAAAGTTATACATCTTATTCTCTCCATACATGGGGATTTTTTTTTTCGAAATTAGCCGTATTTCGAGCTGTGGAAGTCGTTTCAAATTCAGCGGTATCATAAAACTGGTCCACGGATTTGAATGAACCAAAATCAGAAAAGTAATTTAGAAAAGCTCATGGCCAGTTCTTCAAAAGTAAAGCTAACATTTTGAGCTCGAAGCCATCACTATAAACCTCTATCGAACGAGAGTAGCTCGGCAGATATTTACTGAAAAACCATTCCTTTCTTTCTGACTTTTCTGATATTTTGATAGTTCCATTTTCAAAACTATTTAGATTTCGATTTCGAATGTAGACAAAACTGATGAAAAAAATTAGCTAGTTCGGGTCTGGTATCTTCCGTGAATCTTGAGAACTACCGGGGCCCACGGTCGCTTAGGCATCTGTCATTTGAAGTTATCATACAATACGTTGTGGGAGGGAGCGAGTTAGAAGCCTGATTAAACAATATTAGAATAAAGAGAGCAATTAGACGGAGGTCACTAAAACTTCGTTTGAAAACCGTTTCTTATGTCTTAACAAGCCTTTAACACCTCTTAATATGTCGTCCTCAGCTGCATTCAGAGTAGTAGTAATGCACTACTTCAGGATAAGGAATGTGGAGATGTCAACAGCTATTTATGGTCCGGGGTAATCATGCGATCTACTTGCAGTTCGCACGAAAATCAGAGCACCAAAGACTGCCATACCCTGACTGTCCAACAGTTAAATATGACTTTACAAAAAGAACTCGCTGTCTCTGCCAAAAATGTAACATATAGAAGCATCGCTTGTGCCAAATGTAATTATGAAGAAAATGCAAGTTTCTGGGCTTTAAGTATTTCGTGCAAAAGTACCACAGGAAATCCACCTGCTCCGAACATCACTGCTTTGACGAAGTTTTTGAAGGAGCACGAAGATTGTTCCTGGAAATACGCACCAACTCACAACCTTACAGGCCATTATAGAAGTTGTGTGGTAAAGGATGCACGCTGCGCTTCGAACAAGTCAAACATCTTGCCTATTGTTCGAGAATTGTGTGCTTTGTATTCCATGGTCTTCACAGTTGATGGTAAAAGAAGCTACAGGAATCCTCACTGTGCTTTGTGTAATCAAGAGGGATGGCTAATTCCTCAGCAAACTAACTCACCTGGGATATCGAGTGTAGGCCCACCCTACACACCTCCATTACGAATCCTTCTTGATGTGAGCCCAAACGTAAAATTCACAACCGAATCGGGAGAGAAATCACAACCTACGATCAATACTGAAGCTCCGCGATTTCAAGTTTTCAACATGTCTTCGCAAGTGCTTAACTGTACATCAACTGGCATCAACAACTGCACTTGCCAAGCTTTGATTCTAGCAAATAATCAATCAAGTCGGGCAAGCTTGTCGTCAAACAAAACCCTTGTGACATTGACATCAAGTCGGATTTCATATGACGACGATTTCATAAGATTGCAGGGAAACGATGTTTCTAATTTGTGCCCAACAGCCCAGCCTGGACCATTAGATGCACTCACGAAATATGAAAATGACAGTTTAGTGCTGGTTCACATCACCTTTGCCGCTATGATTTTGTCCATCGTCTCGCTGTGTTTTCTTCTCGCTGTTTACCTGTCTTTTAAAGAACTGAGAAATCTGCCCGGGAGATGTGTGATCAATCTCTCCGGAGCGTTATTGTGTTATCAAGCATTTTTCCTCAGCGCAAAGAAGTCAACAGAAGTCCCTATCCTCTGTCAAGCAGTGGCCATTTTAATTCATTTCTTCGCTCTTTCCGCATTTTCATGGATGGCCGTTATGGCCTTTGATACAGCAAGTACCTTTACTCCAACAGGTAAGTGAACCCTTTATACGGGGACCGAGAGCAACCCACACCCAGAGGAAATTCCAACCGCTAAGGCCTGGTTGATTGTCAAAGGTGCACTCACTTCATGCTATGTAATTCACCCCAAACGAAGCAAACAATCGCCTCAGAAATTTAATTATTTCAGTATCCCGAAAAGCAACACCCTTATTATACAGACACACAGATGCAATTCACTGTATTCGGTGGGAAACGCACTTACGTGACCACAACTAGTGTCAGCAGGTAATTTAGTGTTAACAACTGAGTTGAAAAGGTAAATTAGCTACCGTAAAGGGTAAAAAAGCCGCTATCAAGAAAAGCTGGTCAAATTCAAAGACAATGCCCTTTGTTTAGTATCTCAAATATCCATAAAAGGATATCTTGAAACAATAGCTTTAGAGCCAAACAATGGCTTATTAATTCACGAGGGAAATTCAAACTCGCTGCCATTACAATAGCGAAATTCACGAGGTAAATTCAAACATAGCCGATTACTGCACGAGCGCGAAATTTGAATATTTAGCGAAAGCGCGTGTATGTCAAATCTTACCCTGGGGAGGAGTAGGGAGTTACTTTTTGTTCAAGGTCACTTGCTACTCAGGGAGGGTTGGTCAAGACATAGCATGTCGCAACTGAGAGACTGACAAAGAGTGATGAAACCAAATGAAATTTTTGTGAATGGTCACGAATGAAACTTGTTTGAATTAAACTCATTCCGTGAAACTGAAAAAATCGCATCACCATCGCAAGCAAAAAAATCGCACGTGTAACCGCGGCTTTAGAACAAGGTCTTGGTTTGCGTTTGTTGCGCACTGACATTGACGAAGTTTTTCATCCTCTGGAAAAAAGAACAAACAAAAAACAAAAACCGAGAACGGAGAGCTTCTGTCCAATCTCACCGACGAGATAATCGATCATTTTTTCTTTTCCTGAAAAAAGACCAAGAGAAACGTTTAGTCTCGAACAAACTAGCCTTCAAGCAAAGTAAATTCGTTCCTGTTGTAATCTACTCACCTTTAAGTGAAGATCGCGCATAGTTCTTCATTGCGCTGTTGCAATCGTCTTCCTGCACCCAAGTATCGTCCTTGCTTCCGAAACCCTTCCATCTCACCCGATACTCTTTACGTCCGTCAATGGAACGCACAGCCAGAATTTTTGCGACTTCGTAGTACTTCGACATTTTTTTCGCAATAACGAGATCTAACTTTGACAAAGCTCACTTAATGATCACTGAAAAATAGCTGTCTTTATGACCACGCACTGAAAGAACATAAAATTATCATACGGCAACAATAGTAACGTTAATTATGCGATGTTCCATTGTCGACAAAAAGGAAGGCAGAGCAGTTTAAAACTATCACCTCTTTGTTAAATGCCGCGCACGCCGCCAGAGTTTTCACTGGAAGACTAAAGTAGAACGACAACCCGCAAATATCACTGATTTTTTTAGTTCAGCGATTTAGCTCGGCGTTATTCTTAATTCCTAAGAAGTATTTTCCCAAACGCCAATTCTTTCTTCTATTTTGTTTTACGTTACGACTAAAACTAGATAGTTTTAAAACTATCACCTCTTTGTTAAAAGCCGCGCGCGCCGCCAGTGTTTTCACTGCAAGACTAAATTAGAACATTAACCTTTAAAGATCATTTTAAATCCAACCACTTAAGTTGAGCGTTTTTTAATTCCTAAGTGGTATTTTCCACAACACAAAATTTTCTTCTCTTTTCTTTACGTTACGAGAGTGAAAGCGTGATAGTATGAAGACTAGCGCTTAAGACTAGCGCTTCTTTGATTAGAGAAGCAAAACCCTTGACCAAGTGAAACCATCGATAAAAGCTTCATCGTTTTGCGGCGTTGTGCTGCGCGCTATTATCAACTGATCCAAAGTACAGTATAAAGAATTCAGCATTTCCAGGTATCTTGTTTGGGGTTAATAACAATAGTGAATTGTTGCTTTTTTTCCTCTCGTCCTCTTGCCGAGTATAGTTCGTGAATGTTGTTAACAACAAAGCATCCTTATTGTGTTAATAAATTTATAATCAACTGGTTCGTTGATAAAAAAAATATACTGAGAGACCAAGCATAGTGAAGGGCATTTTCTCCCTTGGGTACCCCTGTGTGAACAGCACGCTTATGAGCAACTTTTCCAACCCCTCTCCCCAAGTGCCGCTAATTTGACACGCCGACAATTTTGCGACGATTTGAAATTCATCCTCGTCGAGTCTCGGCACAATTTCCTCAGCGCAACAAACAACAAAAGGCTTTTGTTTGAACTTGTGAAGTCGAATTTAACCCACAACAATGGCTCATTTCTTGAGTCAGCGGCTGACGTTTCGAGCGTTAGCTTTTTTACCCTTTGCGGTGGCTAATTTACCTTTTCAACTCAGTTGTTAACACTAAATTACCTGCTATACTCTCCCACCGACGCAGCACCACAGTTTCTTTAGAAACTTACCCCTTTATTCATAGCTAGTCAACATTCCTTACTTATGTTAGCTTTCAAAACAATTACCAAGCTGCCAAATAATAACAACATAACCATACCTTAATGTCATTGTGTATAACAAAAAAAAGGAGGAATCATAAGAAACATTTGAATCGTGAAAACTTACAAAAAAGTCGTTCAAATGCCAAAACATTGTGATCGTCCTGAAATGTTCGTTCACCCATACATGGCACTTTTTCCTTTTCCCTGGTCTTCCTCCACAACCTTTATGCCAATTCGCGTCATACTTGGATTAAAACCGAGGCGAACTGAAATGACAATGCAGATAATTCATAAAGAAAATGTGCCTCATTAAACGGTGTTCCTTTTACTTTAACAAACTAGTGGCTGACACAAGTAGGCAACCATCAGACACCAGAAAGATCTTCATCAAGTATTGCATTCTGGGATGGGGACTTCCTGCTGTAATCGTTGGATTTTGCATCGTGTTGGACCTCACTGGAACTTTCCATGTCGGATACGGATACGGTTTGTAAACAAAACATCAGGCCCCGGTTGTTCAAAGGGTGACCAATGCTATCATCTGGATAAATCTCTATCCGGTGGATAGCGCATTTCGTTCTATTCATTCTTATCCGCTGGAAAGCGATTTATCCGTTGGATGGTGTTATATACGCTCTTTGAACAACTGAAGCCTGAAAATTATATCCAAGCTACATGTAAACTCCCAGCTTGACTACTTTACCTACGTTTGATGACGTGCAATGAAAAAAATCCCCTAATTCGATAATTTTTGCTCAGACAAGTAAAGAATATATTCGAATCATTTATGAGATAAAATAAAAAGTTCAAAACAATTGGCCACAATAACTTCTTCATTCGCATCACGAAATAAGTTGCAATTTACTTTCAGATTTTTTTCCCATAGGAAATTTGCTCTTCTGTTGGATATCAGATAGTACAGCCCTAACTGTTGTCATGGTAACGCCTGTAAGCGCTGCTTTGATCTTCAATGTAATCTGCTTCGCAAAAAGCGCGTATGCCATTCGTCATTTACAACAGGTACGCGTATATAATATTGAAGCATGAAGCTTTCAGAGAGTATTAAACAGATTCATACAAGGTTCTTGGTTTAAACTACGATATCTACTGTTCTGAAGCAATGTGACATAAGAAAACACTACTCTAAAGCTAAGGCTTAAAGCAATTTCCTTACTCTATTTTCCTTTTTTTCTTCCACTCAGGCTGCCGCCCTTGCAGCATCTAACAGCTCTAAAGCTTCTCTGACTTTCATCTGCATCAAACTGACCACAGTCATGGGTTTGACCTGGATTCTGCAGCTTGCTGCTAATTGGAGACACACAGAGTTCTTACAATATCCCTCCGCTGTATTGAACAGCATGCAAGGTAAACGAGCTGGTTTGAGTTATTTGGATTAACCCGAGCGTAACAGCGAAGCTACGAATCCCTGTTTCTTCTCAATCCCAAAAAGATCCTGTACTTGTGCAAACTCTCAGTGCCGCGAGGATTTTTTTTTTATCTCCTTTCTTTTCTTTTTCGTATCTATTTAAATTTTTGGCAATTAAAACCAAAAAATTTGTTTAATTTCGTTGACTTTATTCTTCCGTAATTTGGAGAAGATTTATTTCAAGTCTGCCATTTAGGCTTTAACCCGTGAGCAGAAGATTTACTGGGAGGCACCGCAATATTTAATTTGACAATATCTCGCAAAGATAGAATATTATAGCTCCTATGCTCTTATCTTGATTTCATGCGATATAGCTCATTTACAAATACAATGTTTTACAGGGTTATTCATCACTTCGTGTTTTGTTACCACTAAGAAGGTGCGTGGTCTCTTCAAAGAGAGATTCTCTAATCGAAGAAGTCGTTCAGTTGAACCCCAAACAAACTCTGCTCGTGACCAACCTACTCTGGGAATCACTGATGTTGAAAGAGCTGAAGGTTCTACTATCGTTCTCAGGGAACAAGGGAGAACAAGTTCTTAAAGAAGATAAATCTCTTTTTATGCACATGGAATAGAATGAGACTTTCGGCCTTTCCATTAAAGCTGTAAAATAGTGCGTGTGAAAACGAACACAGATTATTATGGGATAATTTGGTATTATCAACAGAGTTAATTACGTAAATTGGCTATCGTAAAGAGTTTCAAAGCTGACGTTTCGAGCGTTAGCCCTTCATCAGAGCGTCAGATCATTATGCATCTGAAAACTTTCGGCATATTACTCAAACGAGCTGCTTTACTAAATATGAAGATTTCAAAGCTGCTTAGCTAAAGGTAATTAGCTTACCGTAATACTAGAAGCTAGTATTATCATTGTTTGTATTGTAAATGGTATGACTAGTAGTAATGAAAGTATTGAAATTACACACGTTTTTTTTTTTTTGCTATAGCACGTCTGTTCATTGATAGATCACAGATGCAAATAACTGATGTATGTAATCTACTAGTGCACGAACGCACGAACATCGATTGATGTTATTGCTGTAATAAGTATGTTATCATGATTAAATAGGATTAAAAATCATATACCGGCAAAAACTTGACATTGTAGAAAATTCGTGTAAACAAGTTTCGGTTGATCGAAGGATCGATCTGTGTTGTGCCTGTTGCTCAAGTCAACAAGTGTTTGATAAACGCTATATGTACTCTTCCAGTGTAATGAATTTCCATGTTTATGAACACACGAACATCGATTGATGTTATTGCTGTAATAAGTATGTTATCATGATTAAATAGGATTATTATTATACCGGCAAAAACTTGACAATGTAGAAAATTTGTGTAAACAAGTTTCGGTTGATCGAAGGATCGATCTGTGTTGTGCCTGTTGTTCAAGTCAACAAGTGTTTGATAAACGCTATATGTACTCTTTCAGTGTAATGAATTTCCATGTTTATGATTGTCTGATAATCAGTAAAATCAATTCTCATTTATGAATTGGTTTTAACGTGTCAAGCCACCCTTTACGCGGCTAAAAAGGTTTGAATGACCAATTTCTATAATCCATCGAAAAACAAAACAATCATAATCCAAAAGAACTGCTCAGATATTCTTCGCATATTTGTTCCGAGCTTTCTGTGACGTGCTATGCTTTTGAATGTCAGGATGCAATAAAATCCTTATTTAAGGTTGTCCTCAGGGAATGTAATTAATTTTGAGCACAAAATGTAAGTACCTAATCATTTCAGGTTCTGAGTGTTTTTTTCTTCTTTTGTTTTGTTTTGTTTTTTTTTGTTTGTTTGTTTGTTTGTTGTTTGTTTTTGGTTTTTTTTTAAGCTTTATTTAACATCCTTAAGAAATTAAAGAACTATTTAAGTCACATCTTTTTCCGAGCCATAAATTTAAACATTGATTTTTTTCGTTTACTACTGCTGTGTGCGATTATTTTTGGCTTGAAATAACCAAGAAGGTACCAATCACTAAGTAGTTTTTGACTCGTTGTGTAACGATCAAGCACCAACCAAGTTTATACTTCAAAAAGGAGAAAACTTAAGAAAACTGATCTATAATATATTTGATCAAATGTGACTCTTCGACCTCTGAAAGTGCTCCTCGTTATTAACATAAGCTGAGCCTTTTGTTATGATGAGACAGATAAGGAAACTCTGACAGCTATATTAAAAAAGCCTTTAAAAAGCCGAAAAGTAAACACTGAGTCTAAATTTTTTAATGAAAACTGTCAAAGCAAGCTGGGTTTTTTTAATTAATTATTATTGTGAATCTAACAAAGATCAAGATGACGAGTTTAAATCTTAGAAATATACATTTTTTTTCGGAAACATCCCATTGAAGATTTTCTTATCACATCATCGTTATTATCTTTGGAGGAACAATTAAGTCTCTGATCTTTCAATTTTCCCCCTTTTAGTTGACAGCATGTTTTACTATCAATAAGTGGTGTGGAAAAGGCAGGTCTTTTAAGGTTCAACGGGGGCCATATATTAATGCAATTCCTAAATTAACAATTTTTCCAAATTCAAAACAATCAGATTCGTGTCAGGATGAGCAATCGATCTCCTTCATGGATTTTGACTAACGCTCGCTACTTTATTTGCTTACATCGTGAAGAGCTTTTTACGAATGCATCTCGAAACCGTTATAGCACAGGTCAAAAGATGAAATATTGATTTTTTTTTTAATTTTGAAAATTAAAATAGCATTTGTACAGCATTTTTGTTTCTTTAAAAATAATTAAGCAATTGTGAAAAGGGGGTTTCTCTACGTCTTTGCATTTGGTTGATTGTCAAAAGGTTTTAGCCGATAAATTTTAAAGCTTAGTTAATTAACAAGCTGTTCAGCTGCTTTTTACAGGAATAAAAGTTCTTTTCATATTTGCTCTTTAGGTGTCAAAGCTCTGAACTGTATTTGTATTCTTAAAACTTGAAGTTTTTCTTGTGACAAATCGATCACGTTTACAGAAGGCAGCACGGTAGAAAAAAATCTTGTCCTTCGGTAAAATTTGCGGATCGTGTTTAAAATATTCGTCGCTCTTAAAATGTGATTCTTTATTAGACTTTTTACACTTTCACATAAAGAAAAGGATATGGAATCACTTGGCCGGAAAAAGGTCATCGATAAAGAGAGAAAACCGGACAGCAGTGAGACATGAGATAATTGTTGACTTTATCAGTTAGCAACGAATCCAACACGTTTCATTTCAAAGCGGTTTTATTTCCATTAAGTCCTTCGTAACGAACTATCACTCATAATCACAAACATTCGCAAAAAAGAGGGAGGCGAGATGTGACACAAACATAAGAATTTCATTCATGGTCTAAGTAAGATTCTGCTTGGTTCATTGACTTTAAATGACCCTATGATCATGCATTCGAGAGTCTCTGGTCGAATATCGATTTTTATTATTGCCGCTGCACTATCGAGTCTTTTCTTGCCAGGAATGGCCCAGGAAAATGATGAACATAACACCGAATCTAGAGCAACAGATGTGAAAAACAACTCCAGGGAATCTCCAAAGCCAGTTGGTATGTTCAATGCGTTTGTTCATTATTTTGTTTATGAGTAACTCAATCGACAGGCTGAAAGAAGCAACGGCCATTAAGGCTTTGACAAATTAATTTAGTTTTCCTTAATTGGATTTAGAAGACCAAGATTCTCTTTTTTTGACGCTCTCAGAATGAAAGCAAAAGTTTGAAAAATGGGAAAAATTTCTTGACAGGTATGAATGTGGGCATAAATTTTTTTGGATTTTTTATTATCACCTATTTCTTTATCTTTTCATTTTTCCTTAGCAAAATCCCAAACTAAGAACGAAGATATCAGATGTAACATTCTCGTTTTCTCCTCTAGATAAATAAATACTATCTTCGAAGGAGTTACTGACACTGTAAGAGTAAGTGCCGCCAATTACTGTGTTGATTTTTTTCCTCTCTGATTCAGATTCAGGCGAAGATGACTTTGTTGTGAAGTTTAAGGGTGAAGTTATCAGTTTGAGAAATATTTCCAAACTTCTCCATCAGCAAAACATCACTCTACCAAACGAAAAGGAGTTTTTCAGAGTAATACTTCAACAGAAGAATTCCACAGCACAGTCATGTAGAGGCAGATGTTATGTTGGAGAAAGAAAACAGTGTAAGAAATGTTATTGTGATAAGGTTTGCGAAACATTTGGGGACTGTTGCTTTGATTTTTACTCGAGGTAAGACTCACTGAATTGAATTCATAATTTGTTTGTAGCGCGATTAAGATATGAAAATTCGTAGAATGAAGAGATTAACTTTAAGCCTTGCTAGATGCTATCACTTGGAGCAAAGTTACAATAGTGCTACAGGAAAAGTATTCCGTTAGGTCGTTATCATGCTCTCGTTCTTGGTGCCCCTGTAGAAGCAAACTGTGCGAGCAAGCAAAGGAACAAATACAAATCAAAAAAGGGTATGGGCTCTCTATCAAATAAAGGAGTTAATAAAACTGGTGAGCCAAATTACATGAAATTAATGAAACCATTAGCTTCGTAAACACATGACTGACGAAAAATACTTTCCTATTATAGAGAGAAAATCCATGTAGAAAAATTAATTAGGATGTGTATGAACATGAGTAATGAATGACAGATCATGAAAATAAATGATGACAAGTGAAAGAGGGCAACGCAGAATCGCAAATGCGCTTGCCAACCGAAATTTTAGTTAAACTCAATATAAAATTGCCAGGTTAAAAAGAGAGTTGACACCAATTTTTTTCCTCAAAACTCCAACAGACAGCGATGAGTCGGTCACTGCGTAACCGAATTCTGGACTTAAAAAGATCAATTTATAGCGCAGTCTGATCTTAATAGAAACTAGCTATCCCATAAGGCGTCAGTGCACAATGATTCCTTTTTAGTTTTTTCACAAACCTAAAAACTACACTTTTTTCGGTAGGTGTCGTAAAATTTCAAGTTCTTTCTTTCCGGCGAACCTAGAATGTGGGAAAGTTGGCAGTTCATCTTGGTCATCTGGAATAGTCATGAGATCTACATGTGATTCACGTGTCAGTGCGAGTACAAAAGACTGTCATCGTATCCAAAGGTTAAATTTCACGCCATATAAAGAACTACCAGTGTATAGCTGGAAACCCAATCTAACTTACAGAAGCATTGCTTGTGCGAGGTGTAACAAAGAAAAAAACACGTCGTTTTGGGGTCTCGACATCTCGTGTAAATTTACCTCCGGAAAAGGACCTGATCCAAACATCACCATTATTAAGAAGTTTCTAAAGGAACACAGCGACTGCTCATGGAAATATTCACCAACGCAAGCCATTGAAAAGTACCAACAGTTTTGTGTCATTCATGATTCATCATGTTCTTCTAAAGAGCTGAGAATGCCATCTGCAGTCAGACAATTGTGTGCGCTGTACGCCATGACTTTTACAGTTAAGGATGGACAAGGACGGCGCGAGTATAGAAATCCCCATTGTGCATTTTGTAATCCCGAGGGAAGACTGAACACCGCTGAAAAACCAATACCTCCGATAGTGCCTCCATTGAACATCCTTCTAGACGTAAGCAAAAATATGGAGGAACCCGCTGCACCAAAACCTGTTCATCCAACAAACCCAGCTGAGACTCGAACAGTGAGCCATGATATTTCACTACAGGTTCTTAACTGCAGCTCAAAATTGGATAATTGTACAGTTATCTTTAGAAATAAA